GGTATCCAACACACCCAGAAGGGACAGAGGATCAGATGAGTAAAGACAAAACGAACAGTTAACCCTTGCAGTACGAATGCAGGGGTAATTTTTTTTAATTCCTGGAGTTCTTTAATACAGAAAATATGACAAGTGTAATGATGCATCGTGTACAGATGTCTGCAAAACTGTTGTAGTTTGCTGTCCAGGATTACAGATATAGGGGGTCATAAACAGGGCCGGTGCTAGACTATTTTGCGCCCTAGGGAATACCAGCTACTTGCACCCCACAGGCCCCCTCCCCAGCCCAACCCCAAATCCCCCCCGCCCCACTTTCCTGCCAGATAGCTTCCACAGGCGACAAGAAAATGTAAGCAACCAGGAGCAATAGCCAGACTGCTATTGGCTATTTTAGTTTGAAATAGCCAATAGCAGACTGGCTATTGAAACCCCCCCACTAAGCAGATGAGCGGACCTGAGAGAGAAAGCTGTCTCTCAGTTCCACTCCTCTGCTGAGTGGGGGGTTTCAATAGCCAGTCTGCTATTGGCTTTTGCAATTTGAAATAGACAGGTCTAGGCCTAGTGGCAGCACTGGCCCTGGTCAATAACCCCCAAAGAAGGGAAACAGACTGTGTAGATACTTATTCAGCCTTGTGCTATATTGTGGCTGCTTGTCCTAAGAATGCACTAGATGAACAACATTGCTTGTAGTTACATTGAGAGATAATCCTCCCATCAAATGATCTTTCCATATAATGTCCTTAAAGGACAAAGTAGAGGGAAAACCATTTACAATAGGTATTGAAACCACTAAAAAATATTAAAAAATTGCGAAGATATCTTACATAACTATCATTTACCAAGATAAACACACAGGGTGTGCACAAGTTATGTAACAAGACCTGCCAGCGTTATTTCCCAATGTATACTGTTATGGACATCCTACACTTGAGTGACATAATGCCTTGCATAAAGAGCAGTAAAGGAGCACCAATAGGGTAGTACTTGGGACCAGGGTTATGTTTGTTTGACACATTTACTTACAGCAAGATTCCTGGCACTGACCAAATAATACAATGTGCCATTGAGTGGCAGCTTGTCCTGATACTACATTAGACAACATCAACAATACTGCTTGTGGTTACATTAAGAGATAATGTCCTTCAAGGACAAAGGAAACAACTACAACTATTAAAAATAGGATATGTTTCATACTTAACGTAACGGACCTGGATGTCTCAAATGACATCTGTTCTGCTCTGCTCCAATCAGCAGGGAATCTATGTGCGGATGCCTTGCTGATTGGAACAGACGGCGCACATGTGAAAGGGACGTAACAGTTTAGTGATCTCTATAACAGCTTGTTACATTACTCATTGGTAGAAACCATGTAACAGTTTAGATTGTACTTTGTTGCAACTGTTTTAACAATTCACAGGTTTTTTAGTGATCTGTTCCAAATTTTAGCTGCAGTTAACATTTATAATAAAAGATAAAAAGTATTAATTAATACACATAATATAAAAAAACACCTTTATTTCTAACTAGGCCATGCTCTATATAAAGACGTTTATTTTAGTGTTGTAACAAGCTACAAATTGCAGATTAAAATTCCAACTTGTATCTACAGTAATGCAAGTTCTTCTACAATTACCATGGATAAAAGAGTAAAAAATGTGTTTTTATTATTTTTTTTTCCTTTAAAGGAAACCTGTAAGAGAAACACTACATGACAAAAAAATGGTTTTATAAAATATTTATTTGTATTTATTGACATGACTATATCTAGCGTCAAACAATACGGTTCAACCAAAATATAGAAAATGAAAGGTACCGTAAATTAGTATGATTTGTACAACAGTGCATTAACTCATCATAATAAATTAACTAGACGAACGCTTCCTAGTGCAATACCATATTTGGTGCCTTCTACATTCTATAATTAGATTATGGACTATCTCCTAGACTTAGCTGTGCAACATCCTGTGCTATCTCTCTGGTAACATCAGAAACAAACACAGAATCTTATGTCCAGTTTAGGCCGTGGGTCATATCATAACGGAAGGATAATATTAATAATCATCAAATATGAGAGGCAAGCATTCAGATATTTCAAAAAGTCTAACAAACAAACACATATGCAGAAGCAGAGTAATTCGTGTTTTTCTAACTTCCAAGAATAATTATGTGTATATTTTTATATAGTTACAGTTTTGTTTCCTTCTTACAGCTTATATGTCTCTTGAAACATTTCTCTTCCCTTTCCAACCATTTCCCTAAGATGTGTTGACTAATAGTTTTGCAATTAACTTTCTTGGAAGACGTATTATTTCACATCATTACAAAATAGTATGAAGCAGAGGGGTTATATCAATTACACAATAGAAATATTTTATAGTGGAGGAATTGCACCCGTTTATAGAGCCACGTTACTCAGGGATACATTTGCATATTTTTGTTTGTTAGAAGGAGATATATTATTTTAGAGTAGTACCATATTGATTTTTGGTTATTTTAATGGTGGTGATAAACATTTATTTAATTTCTATCCAATCCATTATTGAAAATATTGCCCTGTGAAACCATCAATCACAATATTAGCCAGATCTCGGCACATTTATTGGTTTGTCATATTTAGTGAATGGTGTACTTGCTCGTTGGCATGTTATCACTCTGTAATTCAGCTGCAGTTTAGTCCCAGATATTAGTGTCCTACAAAAGTGACTTATTCTACTTTATATTTAGAGTGTGCTGATAGAAGCATTGTTTTACAGACACACAGTACTCACAACACAATGTCCTTGTATATACAGTACCTATTTAAATCAGCAGTTTGTATTTCAAGGGCAGTATGTAGCTGATCTAGTATTCACAAACCTGTACAGGTTATTTTACATAATATGATGAGGATACTACAAAGCGCTCATAATAAACTTCTAATATTGTCATACCTGTGTTCCCAGTGTTGTTAAGAGATAATAATATTATTTTGAAAGGCTTGCCTAACAATGCATCCTGACTTTTTATATTCTGACATAGCACAAGCCCATTAAATACACATGCATTAGGCAGTTCATGTACAATGCATGCCAAGAGGTCGGTCTCATATACACGAAAACTCTTATTCTACCAATGTGAATATCCAGTGACCTGTGGACCCGGATCTTATCTCTGCAGGTTCTAAAAGAACTATAATGGATCTCTATAGGTTGAACTCGATGCACATGTGTCTTTTTTCAACCTGACAAAATATGTAACTATGTAAGATAATTATTGTCTGAACATGATAAATTTGTGCTAAATGATGAGCATCTAATGTCAGGGGACAAAACAGTCTAGTAACCATAGTTACAGTTAGAGTTGAAATTGACCCATCCAATGCTGCGTGCCACAGAGAAATAACAGGGACGTGATTATATAAATATCAGTGAGTGCATCTGATAGGAACAGCACACTATTATATGCCAGCTACATTGATAAATAATGCCGTCACCTAAGACATAATATCAAAGCAGAGTTAGTGTAGTCTGAAGTGTGTGAATAATGGTTGGCTAACTTCATTGATACAATTGCACCATTTGGAACACTTACTACTTTTAATAAAACAGATCATTTATATTGTATCTACTTTTTGTGAGTATCAGTGATCCCTTTATATGCCGTTTCTAATCCTAAATAGTAAATAAAATTACAATTATTGATAAGTGTATAAAACTGCTAACATCACTCCTCCTGTCACCTGTAATACTACTCTCTGTCCGACTGCTGGGAAAAGTCTTTTAGTTTTGAAGTGATCCTCCACTGACATCTGCTGAGAGATATTGAGAAATAAAGGTAGAACGCCAAACTGATCGAATATTAGAGTGCAAAAAATGTTTAATAATCACATTGATAAAACACCCCCAACGTGTTTCAGGGGAAGACACAACCCCCTTCCTTAGGGTTCAAAACTGTAGGATAGAAAGTTTGGATGCAGATGGGCAATTTAAACATATATCATGGAATGAGGAATATTTGCCCAGATTTAGAGTGTGCGGATAGCTGACTGCTAAGAGATTATGCTTTCCTCTGAAAGACACAGAAATGTTACAATTATAAGAGCTTAGAGGGATATTTAACAGTGAACTTCTCAGATCCTGGCAGAGACATGCCTCTAGGATAGACGTAATATTGTTACAGTTAGCTTGTAGTTAAGTTAAAATGTATCTATCGATATATGCAGCATGTACCACAAGGTGCATATAGTAAATGTAAAATAAAAGTGAATGTATTACCTATTTGGTGCTATGTTAATTTACCAAATGTTTGCTAGACCAAGAATCCTGTGTTTGCTTCAAACAGCTAATACAGTTAAAAAGCAATTCCAGGCAATAGTTATAGTAATCTGTGAGCTACTAATGATGTCCATCAAACACTGAAGCTGTGCTAAAAATGTAGAAAGTTAATTTACTTTACCATTGTAATTAACCGCAGCCAGAATTCACCGGACAAATCCCAGGGTCACTGGTAGTATACTTCCTAAAGCCTGTGCTCTCTCTCCTTGCTTCCATATTACTAATTATATTTTAACTTCAATGTCAAGTTTGATTTTGATTGTTAAAAAATCAGAGTAAGTATCAGGCGTTCTGCATGTGGGAGATGGCAAGGAGCCTGTAAAGGGTATGTTTGGTGAAAGCTATTCTGCATCATAAGGAGGGGTTCCCAGTTTTCCATAGGATTGACAAAAAATGTTAGATGGACATGTTGCACTTTAGCAAAGCGTAAAACCTGAACAGGTCAGCAGCATTCTTTTTCTATATCTCAATGTTCATTTTCAATTTTGGGTGTAGTGCGAATAAAAATAGGATTTTTTTCTGCATCTAAATGACTGTATGACGTAAGTACAGGTACCCTGGTCTAGTAAAGCTTCAGCAAGTCACCTCTTTTATGCTTGTAAACAAGGGATGGTTGCCATTATTGTTGAGTGCATATATAGTAACAGTGTCTTTAATGATCATTTTATAGAGCAAAATGGTCATCTGTGCATTAATGCAATTATTAAAAAAAACAAATGTAAACCCTTACCAGCTCATTCACTGATGGAAATGCAACCAGCACTGGGTACACTGACCCTCCTGACAAAGAAGCTTACTCTAAAAGAAAGTGATAAGTGTTGGGTGAACTCTTCAAGTCTGACCACCAATAAATAAGGATTGCTTCATTTAGGAGAAGCTCTGTTTCTGCGGCATCCATTGTTTTCTACATAGTTCTCAAACAACCAGCATCTAATGTTACGTTTCAAATCTTTTTCGTAAGGTAAAACCTGCGTTATTGATTGCCAAGCTGCGGGACTGCAGATATTTCTTCACAAATTGTGCATTATGCCCAGATCTGTAGAAATAAGAAATGCGTAAAACCGTTATTTATATTGTAGGTGTAATAAATAATAAAAAGTACTATTATGTGGCATTGGATTTCATATTTCGAACATCAGATTAAACTACAATTTGAAGTGAACGTGAACTCAGTAAACCTTACCCATCAAATAGCATTAGATGAGTCAGTTGTGAATGAGATTGTGCTTACAGGGAGCATTCTAATGCTGCTTTCATTCATTATACTGTGTATCTGTGTTTTTCCTGTTTCCATGCCCCTCCCTGATCAATGTAATCCAGTAATGAGGAGTAGGCACAGTATACCAATGAAATGCCAGGCTCCTGTGCGGCTAGCAGAATGAAGGGTACCTAGGCATTGTCACATGGATGGAAATGTTCTGATGCCTCTAATCAGGAATTACACGATTAAAGGTACAAAACAGACATTTTCTTTTCCTGATTAGCTTTGTCACATTATAGTGTGCTACTGTAATCAGACAGGCAAACTTTAGATTTTGAGTATAGGTCCACTTAAAAATACATACATAGGAATTATTTTGTTAGGTTTGTATCTAAAAAGATCTAAAAAGATATTATAATACAACATTCTTTGTAGCTGAACTCCGACCAAAAACAATTTTTGGGCATTTGCACTGTAAAAATAAACAAACACTAATGAAGTATGTGCAATGGGTGGGTGCTGCTGTGTTATGTAATAGTCATACTTTCATTCCCCCGCAATACAGTACAGTCAGCGGCGAACGTCTGAAAATGTACAGCTCTGGCTGGAGTATACAGGTCACAGTGGGTTGTTCACAATGCAGCTTATCCATTCTAAAAACCTTGCATTCTTTTCAATGGATGCAAGGTGTTCTGTGATTGGAGGAGGTGCGGATGAATGTCACAATCTCCCCTTGTCCAATCATAGAATGCCTTAAATTCATTAGATAGAATGCAAGATGTTTTCGGAATGGAGAAGCTGCAGTGAGAGACCCGCTGCGATCTGTGTACTTCAGCCAGAACTGTAAGTTTCAGTGCCAAACGTTCAATGATAAACTGTATTGTACGGGGGAAAGAAAGTAAGAGCATTACATGACAGAGCAGCGGACACACATCTCACACACTTCACTAGTGTTCATTTATTTTTTGTTCTTGGTCAGAGTTAAGCATTACCAACAATGAATGGGTATGTGAGTTCTTGAGAAAACTAGAAAGTTTCACAAACATTTCATTATCATGGTTCAACAGATTAGTCAAATTAAGACCATTGCCTGATACCTAGCATACATGAGATTGTTATTCTTCGGAAGACTTACTTGAGAAATAAAACTCACCCTTAGAGTGTGATCCCATGACCCTGAACAGAATGCAGTCCCATCAGGAGACACACGTAGAGTGCTGACTCTGTTCTCATGACCAAACAAGATGGACACTCTGCTGCCCTTTAGGACATCCCAAACATTGATTGTGTAGTCATTGTATCCAGCAAACAGTAAGCGACCTTCAATTGAAAATAAAAAGTAATGCATGTATTTTTTATTTTTAAATGGGAAAACATAAAATAATTACATATAAATATTTCTCATGCTGCAAGTTCAGTAGGCTTAGATAACAGCTGCATCTGTGAAATATACCTAACTAGTAGGGAGATTAGAGTACACAAAATTACAAGTATGGGCGGGAGGTCACTGCAAGAGTAATTTTTTCCCTGTACCTGGAGTTAGACTTTAAACATCTGCCCCCTTACTGCATAAACACACCTTCTCTTCTTTTTCTCGCTACATCATTCACTCGAAAAGAAATGCCAGTTTTTTCCAGTCATTTTTTTCCTGCAATTATGCAGCACTGGGTGCTTGAGAGGCCTAGAGCACTGTTATGTGGGGGCAGGAAAAGATTATTTACCCTGGCTAAGCTCCAACCAGATTGACTTGGAGCTTACACAGCGAGGGGGATGAAAGGCAAGGTAAGGATAAGCAGCAGGGGTGGGAGGGAAGAGCATCATTCAAGTGTACCTGATCCTTTGCCGTTCATGAGCAAAGCACAGGTTCACTTTAACTTGAACTGCAAGATACATAGTCATGGGAAAAAAATTCCTTTAAATATTTGATTGCAATCAAACAGGAAAAATAGATAAACTGGCTCAGACAGACTGTACTGAATGATGATGGCAGTACTGGCACACAGTACCTGCACTCAGAGCCAGCGTTAGCTCTTTTTTGCACAGGTTTAGCTGTGTTCTATATACAAATCATTGCATTGTCAGCTGCCTGCTCCCTGTTCCAATCAAACTGTTGACAGATGATTTCATGACTGGAACAGAATGCTGACTGCATGCAATTGCTAAAGATAGTTTTCTGAGCAATGAGCTCACAGCACAAAAGTCAAGCGAGAACCTCCGAAACCACGCCGCAGCACAGCTGACTTCACATAAGCGGGGTCACCGATTGTCAGATCCAGCAAAATGACAGAAACTGCTGTTTCCCATAAAACATACTCTGTTCTATGTAAGAAAACAAAACCAGGATTCATTTCATCATTGGCAAATGTTCATTTTTCTTTACTTCTTCATATTGTATGTTAGAATTCCGAGATTGTATTTTTTGGGGGTGCAGAGAGTGCGGTAAGTGTAAATCTTTTAGCTAACCTACATTGTATGCACCCCCTAACAGGATATTATATGTTCCAGGAATGTTTATGACTGCAGGTAAGGAAAAACATTTAGGGGTCTATTCACGAAGCTGCCGAAGGATCTGGCCGTAGCTTCGGCCCCAGGACCCCTTCGGTTCAGTAGAACCGAAGGGGTGCTGCACGGGCTATTAACAATAGCCCGTACAGCTCCCGATCATGGCCGAGCGGCTCAGCCGAGCCGAACGCATATGCATCGGCTCGGCGGAGCCGTGCTGAAAGCCGAGCTGTCAGCCTGCTTCTGACAGCTGGACTAGCATTGTACACGCCCTCTGCTGCAGTTCCCCATCAGGTCCATCAGCAGAGGGCGGGTACAATGCTAGTTTACTATTGGCTATTGCAAATTGAAATAGCCAATAGTAATGTCCCAATGCTTTTCAATGGGAAAATTATTTTTTCTTTTCTATTCTGACATCGCTCGTGTCAGAAAAAAAGACACATCAGTGCTTCTCTCCTGGGCGGCCGGGAGCGGGAGGCTCCCAGAGCGCCCGGGAGATTGTAACTGGAAACGTTCCCCCATGCCCCCATTCACAGTGTGAGCATTTTTCAGGTGATTTTGAAGCTTTGTTTTGCAAGTTTTTTTCACGCGTGAATGTACATATTTTGTATGTTTTCAAGCTGCAGGAGTTTTCTTTTTGGCCAATAGAAAGCAGTATGGGAGCGCCCAATTCGGGAAAACCTCACACCCAATTTATTGCGAGGCCCCGTGCTGCTTGCTATGGTCCTTGTATTGGGCATCTGTGGGGTTGTAGAGGTTCTTGCGTGCCCTCACCAGAAAGTCTCCTGCATGGGCACTTCTAAATCCCCATTTTGAAGTTGTAAGGAGGAGACCAGTTGTTAGACATGAAACATGCAAAAAACACGTGATAAACACTCTAAAATGCTTGTTGCGCTCTTTCAGGAGCTCCCATTAAAGTGTCATTAAACTCAGGAGTTAAATCTTAAAAATGCATTCAAGTACCTTAACTATTAACAATACTAGACCTTATCTGTGCATCACTCAGGTGTAGATACTCAAATCATTTCTGAATTCATGCTGACACCGTCCTTAATTTTGGAGGGTGGCTACTTTTATTACCCATGGTCCCTGTGTGTGTTGTAAAGTAGCCACCACTCCAAGCTCACTCCTGTGATGGACTACAATCTTACGTTTAGTTTGCTAATTTGTATTGAGATTGTAGTCCATCACTGGAGTGAGCTTGGAGCCGTGGTGACTTTACAACACACACAGGAACCATGGGGAATAAAAGTAGCCACCCTCCAAAATTAAGGACGGTGTCAGCATGAATTCAGAAATGATTTGAGTATCTACACCTGAGTGATGCACAGATAAGGTCTAGTATTGTTAATAGTTAAGGTACTTGAATGCATTTTTAAAATTTAACTCCTGAGTTTGCTGTCACTTTAAAGTCTGCAGGGCAAAACACGCAACTCTGTTCGGAAAAAAAAACTTTTTTCGCATGGCAGCACGGTGAATGGGGCTCATATTATAACACTAATGTAGCATTATATATTCTTCACTGGTATATAGATAAACTGCTCAAAAAAATTAACACTTTGAAAACACATGAGATCTCAATGGGGAAAAATATCATGCTGGATATCTACTGATATCTACTTTATACTGCACTGGGTAATGTGTTAGGAATGAAAAGATGCCACATCATTTGATGGAAATGAAAAATCATCAACAGAAGGCTGAATTCAAAGACACCCCAAAAATCAAAGTGAACAAATGATGAAGCAGGCTAGTACATTGTGCTGAAATTTTATTGCAGCAACTCAAAATGGTACTCATTAGTTTGCATGGCCTCTACGTGCTTGTATGGATGCCTGACATGCTCCTAATGAGACGACGGATGGTGTCCTGGGGTATCTCCTTCCAGATCTGGACCAGGGCATCACTGAGCTCCTGAACAGACTGAGGTGCAACCTGGCAGGATTGGATCGAGGTGTTCTATTGGATTCAGGTCATGCGAGCGTGGGGGCCATTCAATGGTATCAATTCCTTCATCCTCAAGGAACTGGCTGCATACTCTCACCACATGAGGCTGGGCATTGTCGAGCACAAGGAGGAACCCAGGACCCACTGCACCAGCGTAGGGTCTGACAATGGGTCCAAGGATTTCATCCCGATACCTAATGGCAGCCAGCGTGCCATTGCCTAGCCTGTAGAGGTCTGTGCGTCTCTCCATGGATATGCCTGCCCAGACCATCACTGACCCACCACCAAACCGATCATGCTGAACGATGTTACAGGCAGCATAACGTTCTCCACGGCTTCTCCAGACCCTTTCACGTCTGTCACATTTGCTCAGGGTGAACTTGCTCTCATCTGTGAAAAGCACAGGGCGCCAGAGGCGGACCTGCCAATTCTGGTGTTCAATGGCAAATGCCAATCGACTTCCACGGTGTCGGGCAGTGAGCAAAGGGCCCGCTAGAGGACGTTGAGCCCTCAGGCCACCCTCATGAAGTCTGTTTCTGATTGTTTGGTCAGAGACATTCACACCAGTAGCCTGCTGGAGGTCATTTTGTAGGGGTCTGGTAGTGCACATCCTCTTCCTCCTTGCACAAAGGAGCAGATACGGGTCCTGCTGATGGGTTAAGGACCTTCTACGGCCCTGTCCAGCTCTCCTAGAGTAACTGCCTGTGTCCTGAAATCTCCTCCATGCTCTTGAGACTGTGCTGGGAGACACAGCAAACCTTCTGGCAATGGCATGTATTGATGTTGGCATGCCTGTGCAACCTCTATAGGGTCCAGGTATCGCCTCGTGCTACCAGTAGTGACACTGACTCTAGCCAAATGCAAAACTAGTGAAAATCAGTCAGAAAAGATGAGTAGGGAAAAAATGTCAGTGGCCTCCACCTGTAAATCCATTCCTGTTTTGGAGGTCGTCTCATGTTGCCCATCTAGTGCACCTGTTTCTTCATTTCATTAACACCAAAGCAGCTGAAACTGATTAACAACTCCCTCTGCTACTTAACTGACCTGATCAATATCCCAGGAGTTTCATTGACTTGATGCTATACTCTGATTAAAAAGTGTTCCTTTAATTTTTTTGAGCAGCGTACTTTATGCAATATCTCATTAGGAGATATTATGTATTCAAATATCGAGAAAGAATTCTCACCACTCAACGAGAAATCAACACTCGATGCTCCAAATATGATGCTTTCCTTAGAATAGATGGCCACTTCTCTGTCTGCCCGGAGATCATACAGACGACACTGCGAATCAAATACATGAAAGGACAATGTTAAATGTGGAACAGTTTTATATCTTCTCTCTTTCCCATAGGAATCTGATATTTCATTAAACTGCGGATAAATGTAGGCACAAGCTTGCACCTCTCATGCCCCATGCTGTCCTGATTCACAAGTTCACATGAAAATCACACTTCTGCTGTAGACAACACGGCCCAGCCTGCCCATAACTGAATAGTGTTTACAGACCCCCAGCTCCACTGTGCACTATTGTGCAGACTGGACACTCAGACTTGTACAGGCATTGGGTGCTGCCGTAGGTGAAAGTGGCAGTCCAGAGGGTATGCATCAAAAACAGCTATTATCCCCTTGCCAGAGCATGGCACACATGTACGTTTGAGTGAATAGGCCACAGAACAGGTCAATTTAAAGTGTTCACAATAGATTGTGGAATGATTAGAACCCCTGTGAGGTTTTTACTGCTATCTCAGGCTGAGTTAGAGAAATTTCTGCTTACTATTCCGGTGACAACCGTTTCACCAGACAAGAAGTGATAGAGAATTCCTAACAGCAACCAAAATGGATATAAAATTTTTTCCATTGTGGGGTGAAGGTTAGAACCCCTGTTTAGTGACAGAACAGTAAGGCTTGCAACAGGATCTCTAGAAGGGAGTGAGAACGTTCACCTTCTGTGTCACTCCCCTGCTGCAGAAAATGCTTTGAAATATATGTCGCTGGTGAAGGAGTGACACATTCATGCAGGGGAGTGCTTCTCCCTGCTGTGTCCTCCACATGATGCTGCCACTGGCGAGTTCTCACCAATGACCAGAATACAGACATGACACGAGCCTAAGTAAGGGGAAAATCTCTCAAACTCAGCCATGGACTGCATTAAAAACCTGACAGTAGAAGTTTGCAATGCGTTACAATAAAGGCTTTAAGGAGTTCTAAAGTCACAGCACATACTGTCCTGTTATACAATGCTGATGCATATAATGGATCAGCATTGTAATAAGAATACATTCCAGAGTTGTTTTTGATAATGCAATCGAAGCTTACTTTTTATGTAGGGAGGGCTACCATCCGTCTGCCCATCACTTTCAACAACTTCCTGGACTTTGCATCTATTTCCCTGCTGCTTGATGTAATGCATGTCAATTTCTCAAGACTACATAGCCCATCATGCATTGCTTCCAGAAAGTAATGATAATGTTACATTGTTCAGATGTTGACTTGTAGTTCAGAAGGAAGGCTCTGTGAGAGTTGTGACACAATGAACTGCGTACTCAGACGGCTGAGTGAAATTGTGTCAGTACATCCTGGGGTGTCCCTTACTTATCTGCTGCCTGAGGCGGCCGGATGATGGGTGGGTGGGGGTGCTATTGGTGCACGTTCCAGGGGAGACGGGGTGGTGCACGCTAACGTTCCGCCCAGCTCCCTGACATTACTGGATGCAAGGAGCTGGGTGGAACACCGGCCAGTGCATTCCAGGTTGCTGAGAGCTAGGTGGGGAAAGTGTATGGCCCTTACACATCTTTCTGGCCCGCTCTTAGCACCCTGAGATGCTCTGGCTATAAAAGGGGTGGCAGGCACACTGCAAACATTGTGCAACAGAGCGGCCGTGCCGCTCTGCCTGGCGTACACACGTGACCATGAGGCTGCCTCATTATAGGGACAACCCTGAGTCATCAATAAGTAAGCTTACAAACTTCTACATTGATATGGTTATTAGGAGTGGGAATTCAATATAGAAATACATATATATTGTTAGTTTTTACCAAAGATACCCTTTAAACATGGAACAACAGGCATGTAAAATAGGGAGCCCTCTATAAACTGGGATATTTGACTGTTGTTCCAGCGACATAACTGTGGCAAAGGGGCCGTTCAGTTGATAAATCCGCAGTCCCTATTAGCTTCCTTTTTATTCTATGAACTTTTTCCTAAATGAACTTACTGCAGACGTACTAATCTACATTGTTCTACAATTTGATTTCCTTCGATTTCATATCCAATTAAGCTCAGCTTGTTATATGCGTTCCCTTGTGTGCCGGGGGAAGTAAGTGATTAGATCTTATAAAAATAGTAACAGTCAGAAAGGAAGCCGTCACTTTGATATCTTAACATCCAGTGTCCTTATATGCACCTAACATAAACCCTGGCTGCCTGTATACTCCATCCTGTGACTTCATGTCACAGGACAGAACAGGAAGGTGTCATTCTGCCGAGCAGCTGTCATCACTCCACATCATATCACATCATATGTCACAAGAGTCAGTCTGCTCAAGAGTGTTGTCTAGCAATGGATTACTTTTAGATGCTGAAAATGAGTGTCTTGTAAAAAATGTGTTTTAGTAAATGGCAAATGCATAAACAATACAAGAAAATAAGCAGGGCTAGGGCTGCATGAGATATATAAAGCAGGGGTAGGCAAACTCCAGCCCTCCAGCTGTGGTCAAACTACAAATCCCATCATGCTTCTGCCACTGGTAGTCATGCCTCTGGCTCTCAGAGTCTTGCAGTGCCTTATGGGACTTGTAGTTGCACCACAGCTGGAGGGCTGAAATTTGCCTACCCCTGGTATAGCAAAGGTAGGCAATTCTGGCCCTCCAACTGTGCTTTAACTACAAATCCCAACAAGCCTGTACCTCTAGGGGTCATACTTGTAACTGTCAGTCTTGCAAAGCCTCATGGGACTTCAGTTACCCACCCCAGGTATAGAGGTACATAGTTTGCCTTTTGAAGTTGACGTTTGTTGTGTGAGCTTTTGGATAATAGTTACTCTGAACATAAAAATGTAAAAGTAAGCTTTGGTTGCATTATCAATAACAACTCTAGCATGTATTCCTATTACAATGATGATGTTATAACAGGAGAGGATATACTGGGACTTTACAACTCCTTTAACTGACTCTATTTCATGGGTAGGCAACCTTGGCACTTCAGCTGTGGTCATACTACGAGTCCCATCATGCTTCTGCGTCTGTGAGTCATGCCTGTGACTGTCAGAGTCTTGCAGTGCATCATGGTACTTGTAGTTCAACAACAGCTAGCGGTGCCGAGGTTGCCTACCAATGCTCTATTTCATAGACGTTTATAGATTCTCCCTTTCATGTCTACCTGAGTATTGGGCAATGCAAGCAACATACAACAGTCCCGGTGCCACACCTGAGATGACAGGGCTGCAAGCTATTGATCAGATCTATTTATTTGTTACAGCTACTTATAATGATTTTTATGCAGTGCTTTTCCATACTTCACATCAGTCCTTGTCCTCAAGGAACTTACAATCTAAGGTCCCATCCTTACATGCATACAGACACATACTAGAGCCAATAAACCTACCAGCATGCCTTTGGAGTGTGGGGGGAAACCAGAGTAACCCACATAAGCACAGGGAGAACATGCAAATTCCATGTAGGTAGTGTCCTGGTTGGGATTCCATACTCAAGACCCCAGTGCTGCAAGGCAGAAGTGCTAACCACTAAGTCACAGTGCTGGCCAGATCAGTAATCCTACTGCTTAGACAAAAACCTCATAGGTAATGGACTGTTCTCAAGTAGTCTGAGCAGTCCGAAGAAACAGTAAAGCACAATCACACTGCAGCGGTAGTAAGCATGTGCATATGTCATGAGTAAATGCCCCTGCCACCATATACATATAAATATATACTATACAGAGAAATTCGTCTACAAAACAGATTAAATTTTTATTGTATTTACATTCAGAATTTACAATAAGATGCCAGTATTGTCCTATTTACCTAAAAAGACTGCATATTGCTTTTAAAGCCAGCAGAAAAACATGACTTCTCTTTAGAGTATTAAAATGCAGCTAAGGTTTCAGTAAACAATTGTTATTCTCAGCCTCAAGTCCCAATAAAGGAACATTTAGAACTGGCAGGTGTGAGCGTGATTTGGGGCATTCACTAGACACAAATCCAGATGTTAGCTGGAGCGCATTTTGCTGATTCATACTGAAATATTTCAATCCCAATAGATACTGAAACTGAGATGAAACCTAACTTGTACTGAATGAAAACAATCGCAAAGCAATATTTGCTGCCTAAGGCCACAGATCTGATTTGAAAACGTAAATGGACAATTGGAGAACAGATAAACTACACTTCACTAAAGGTCCCCACACACCTTACGATAATCGTACGATAATGGTGGGAAATCCGGCGATCGTACGATTATCGCAAGGTGTGTGGAAGCCGTGCGACCTCTACTACTATAAGGTCGCACGACTTTTAACTTACGGACATGTTCGAAAACCCGCCGAGCATCGTACGATGTTCGGCGGGTGTGTGGCATGTTCGTAAGATAAAAGCCGGACTGCCCGTTCGGCATTGCGGTCATCGGAAGCCCGCCCCTCAGGGGGCATGGCTTGCGATCATCGCAAGTACGATCTGCCTATGCAAGATGGGCAGATCGTAGGTTTTTTTTAAGTACCTTACAACCATCGCAAGACAAAAGTCTTGCGATGGTTGTAAGGTGTGTGCCCAGCCTAATACACTGATAAAAGGTTGTCAGATCCTTTGATTATCTGCAGATTTTCTATGGACAGATGGAAAAATTACAACAGATTCCTACATCTACGCTAAACTGTGTGAATGGAGGAATCTCCCCCCGGCCAAGCTCCAGTATCTTGCTAGTCGGCCCCGCTGGCTCTCAAAGTACCTGAACAATCTGATTGGATGCAGGCAGATGGTGGAATCTGTTGGATGAGCGCAGATGGAGGAATCTGTTGCACTTCTTTCATCTGACCATAGGAAATCTGCAGCTAGTCTATAGGTGTATGGCCAGCTTAAGGCAGACCATTCAATCTGAATTTAAAATGAATGGACTGCAATGCAGCAAATAATTTTTCCAGCACAGCAAAAGACACATAGCGTGTTGCCGTGTGGTGAGGTGCCTAGAAGTGCAGGTGTGTTGCAGTGGTGCATTGGAAAGCCATTCAAAATGAACTGCAACAGGCTGTAGTAAATAAACCCTGACCATTTTTTTGGTACCTCAGTGCACCACAATGCACAGTAGTGCATTACTGCATGCTGAGGTGCACTGCAATGCAGGTCTATTGACTTATGCATGCATAGTGCCATGCATCAAGCAATGGTGTGAAGCATAGTCATGTGACAACATAACTGCATGTGACATTTAACGCAATAACACAAATTTCTAGGGTCTTGTGCATATTTGTTTTAGTCAGGACTGCTCTTACTCAAGGTAGAACAAAGAGTATCTCAAAGCAGCTAATAAGAAGATCAAAAGCAGTTCAGATGGAACTCAGAAGTATCTCAAAGGCAAGTTGAGTGCACCTAAATTATGGTGCATTTGCATTCAGTTTATACTTTTAGCATTTTTTGTAATGGTACTGGAGGTAACAATCACTATCCCATAATAAAACACCATTATTGAAAAAAGAGAGAGCCTAACCCATACTCTGTCTACAAAGTTTCAAGAACATTTTAGAGAAACCCTGTAGTCATGGTACCCTTTATACTCTGTTGCTTTTCACAAGCAGTATGTCTGAATTTAGTTGATAAATCATTCTCGATGTTCAGAATGTACAAACTGAAGTGCAGCTGTAAGCAGCATTTGTGTTGTGTCAGGTATACGCACACTCGATGCAGGAAAGGGTAATGTCATGATTTATAAAGAGCTGGAAGGTCTTAGCAGACATACAAACATGAGCACATTTTATAGGCTCTGCACATATAATCTTGCATAAATATTTGTCTGAGTTTAAGAACTGGCGTCGATTGCCAGAGAAATCAGCAAATATATGAGTAATGTGAGAAAAGAAAAGCATATGTTGGCCCTGTACACTGCATGCTGTCCATCCACCCACAACTTCAAAGAAATAGGGTGCAAATTACCGAGGCATCGTCAGAGCCAGAGGCAAAGGCATCTCCACTGGGGTAATACCTGCAAAGAAAGAGAGAGAGAGAGGAAGATGTGAGGGCAAGCAAAGAACAAGGCTACCAATAAAGCTGGGCATAGAGGGTGTGGTAAATACCAGTGATGCCTCTAGTATTCAGCATCAATTGATCTTTGGGCCATTTCAAGAAGGGGATAACAAGTAACACAAGCAGTCATATTTACAAACGTCTTGGAAAATTTATTTGTGAGTTGGGCAAGTCCTTTACTCTTCTAGAGAAATACTATGCATGCGACAATATCACCATCAGGCAAGGATTCCTGTGCTTTAGCAAGGATGGGAATCTGTTTTCCATTAATTTTTGGAGATATGTAACTATCTATGGCCAGCCTCATACTGTGAAAATAGTTATCACGTATATCAGAAATAGGATTTGATACATCATTTCTGTACATACGTTGTTAAGTAAACTGAAGGTACATATACTTTACAATCACCTTGTCTGGATGTTTTGGACCAGATCAGCTATCAATCTCATCTCTGTGAGGCACATGCTAACACTGCTGGTTGGGGCTTCTCTGGGAAGAAACCATGAGACATGTTGGAAACCCTTGTCTGACTGCTATTGGGTCCCTGTGATAAGTGATGGCGGTGTAACCAATGAGCCTATTCCTACCCTTCCCAGTCTATAAGCTAAACACAAGCAATAGATTAACCATCTATGTTTAAAGGTGCAGACAGGTGCCAGAAGGTGGTCAGACCACCCTCAGGTGTCTAGAGGTACCAACAGCATTCATGTAGAAGGTACATACTATACCCTGTTCCCTCAAAGAGCATTCAAATTATTGTTCTTTCTTTTAAATTATTATTTTTCTTCCAACATTTATTACAGCATTTAGTAAATATTGTTGTTAATAATAAGTAAAGCTATTAAATATTGTTAATGCTAAAACATATAAAAAAACCTTTACATTCTTAAAATTGTGTATTGTACTCTCATTGTACCTGCCATGTTGGCACATTAAAGTAACCCTCCACTCTTTCCTATAGTTTTTTCTATAAGAGATTAATTTCTTGTCCTGTGACACCAGGACAAGAAACAAGGGGTGCAGGTGTCACCAGGACAGGAAAACTACAGAGAGCAATAAAAACATAACAGACCCATTTCTCCCCAACCCACTCTTTTAAATGAATGTGATTATGTTGTTGTCTCTGTCCCCATCAAAGGTTACTCCCCAAAGGGGGTGGGGCAAACAGCAATAAAAAACTAACAGATATTTTTTTTCTTGTGCATGTTGATGTTTTTAAAGTTGTTACTTTACAACCAATGTGTTAAACACCTAACATATATTTTTAACTCTTCTCCCCTCTAAAAACGAAAAAAATTGCATAACCGGTTGTTAATATTGAACTCTTTAGCAGCTCTTTCATTTCAGTGTGCTCCAAATGAGATAATGTACACTGTGTTCTAAAACCTTTTTAGGCCTCTTTCACGCGCATGGATCAACTGCTGATCAGAACGGATGTCACCAATGCGACATCTGTGTCCAGTCCGGCCCATTTTGCACGAGCAATCCAATCAGGTCCGTCTGTCAGTTTTTCAAGAGGATCTGAGCAGAAGCCCGATGTTAGTCTATGGACAGCCGAAACTAAACAGAAGTGCGTCCGTTTACATCTAGTTACCCTCGACTCCAACCAGGTCTGTAAAAACCAACAGATTTTCTATTTCGACAGATCTGATCGTACTGAAGCAGGGGTAACCTGATGTAAACGGATACATGTCCGTTTACATCCGATTCCCCATAAACCAAGATGGATCTGGTCATTTCATTTTTTTCCTTCATCGCAAGGGGCCTTAGAGTTGAATTTCTGTCTTTGTATCCATTGGAAAGGTTTACCCTCGTTTCCTTTGTGGTAACATGACAGGCAGTAAGGGAAAATCTGTGCATAGGGAACAAAGATAGAAATAAATACCTGACAAGGTTTCAACCCTTCTCCACTAAATCTAAAACTAAAAACATATTGTCTGGAGTTCCACTTCTAAGAGATCATATTCAATTGTTAAATCCTAAATACAGAAATAAATTAATTATGGATTATGTTTGAGTTGTTTTGTGAAGAACAACTTCTTCCTGGATGAAAAAAGAAATTGTGTAGATTTATATACTGTATGAGGAATGTTATGATGCCATAAGCCGTAATACACTAATACTGACCTGACACTGTTGATATCAGATTCATGGGTTTCAAATGACTGAATGCACTGACCAGTCCTCATGTCCCACACCATAGCTTTCTTGTCACAACCCTAAATAAGCAAAGAAATAGAATAAAAACACATCTGTAATAACACTTTTCTATCCTCTCTATATGATTATAAAGTATATATCTATATATCATAGATATAGATCTATAGATATATAGACAGATATATATATATATATATATACATAAGAAGCGCCTTTGACCCTGTTGTAGATATTATATTTCAAAAGTCAGTAGAAAAAGTAATTTTCTTCATTTTGAGTGGAAAGATTGAGAACCTGCAGAGAGAACCAGACATGGAAAGTGATGTCAGACCTGCCGACAAGATTCCAGCTTATCTCTCCCTTCAGTTCTTTGTAGCTCCTTATCTTCCTATCAGAAAGTGTTGTCAGTCAAACTGGTTTTCTTGTTGCTAGCACTGCTTTGGTAACATACTACAAGAATCAGGAGGGTTAGGAAGGGCTTAGGCAATGTGTTTTTATAAAATATCCCAAAAATGTTTAAAAAAGGAAACTTTTTTTGCATCCTATCCTCTTTGTTAACATAAGTAGGTCTGTTACAAAGTAGCAGGTCCACTTTAAAAAGAACACATCATGACTTGACATACCCACAAATCTGATTATTTAGTCACCTGTGCCCAGATTATGTATTTACATATACAAGCTAAAAAAAGTGTTTAAAAAAATCAAAGTAACATATAAGAAAACTTTAAAAATGCAAAAAAGAATTTTTGTAAAGTCCCCCGCCCCCCACGTGCACACACATACATGCGTCGGTGACCCTACATGCAGTAACATAAATTGTGCTACACATGTTACATATCGCCACGAATGTCGGAGTGAGAGCAATAATTCTAGGGTCATCAATCACTGTTGACACTAAACTGATGAGCATTAACAGCTTTTAAAGTGTCCCCTATGGGATATTTGGGGTATTGTAGTTTTTTGTGGCTTCATGGACGAACGCAATTTTAAGGCTTGACATGTTTGGTATCTATTTACCCGACGTGACCCCATCTTTTATATTTCACCTAAAAAGTAGGTATTATATTCTGTTTCTGTGGACTAATTTCATTTTAGTGAATTCTGTCCTAAAAAGACTGGTTTGATAAACATTTGCGCAAATACCGTGCAACATAAAAAACTGCGACTAGCATTTTTTTATTCTACAGGGCCTCTGTCTTCAGAAAATATATAATTGTTTGGGGGTTTAAAGCTTTTTTCTAGCGATTCATATTTTATCATGTGTGTGCAAATGGTAAGAAATTGCTCTGGACAGCAAGTGGTTAATACTTGTTCAGAATGTATAAATACCTTGGTGGGCATAGTCTGGGCACAAGGTCACTTAAAAATGATTATAATTGTGCAGACTTAAACCATGTATATGTGCCCCCTTATTTAGCTTTACTAACTTTATGAGGTCAGGCAGTTGCCAGGGCAGCAACTGTCAGACTTCAGCTAACTTCTGCTAAAGGTACAAGTAAAAGGGAACTTTTATTGAAGAAAGGGCCAGGTGTTGTGCATGGCTCAATACAGAAGACAGGAAAGTCAAGACCCTTAAAAAAAAAAATCGAAAAACGAAACCAGGGAGACATCAACAAGCAGGTTTTTGGTTAATACATTTATCAACAAACACCTTGTACTACCTGCTCTGAAGCAAGGTTTTTCAATTTAAAAGTTAACATGGATGACAGGTTAACTTTGACATTCAAAAGAGCCACTCAACTAACAAATTTGATAATCAGGAACAATCACAGTGAAAGTAAGATTAGATTATCAGGTAATACAGATTAAAATACACATGTCTGATACTCAATGTCCAAAAGGCAGGTCTACCCAGAATTGATATGGTTGGAATGTCGATGGTCTGAATCACTTACCGGCTCCATGGGCACACAATCAGACCATTGTGTTCCACTGTTTGATGAAGCATCCATCAGAAAAAGCAAGAAATTGCTGCTCAACCCAACCCCAGGGCTAGACAAATGATTAGGTCTCTTTGCTACTAAGAGATTTAACTGCTTGTTGAGCTCTCATTACCACTTCATTGATTTTAATTGTGTGGCAAATGTGCTGACTGCTAAGGGGTTAAATATCTCAGGAGCAAAGATATTTAACATACAGCAGATAGTAGATATGGAAGAGTTCAAGAGGTTAAGACTATTGTGATTAAATATATTATCCTAATTCCCACATAGCATTTGTTTCCAATTTAAAGTGCAACTAAACTCAGGAGTTAAATCTCAATAATACATTTAAGTACCCTAACCTTTAACAGAAATGTAACCTATTTGTGTATCACTCAGCTGTAGATCCTCACATCATCTCTCAATCAGTGGTGATACTGTTCTTCCTTCTGGGGGGTGGCTACTTTTGTTCCCTGTGGTCCCTGTGTGTGTTGTAAAGTAGCCAACGCTCCAAGCTCACTCCCGTGATGGACTATAATCTCACAGTTAGTTTACTAATTTGTATTGAGATTGTAGTCCATCACAGGAGTAAGTTTCGAGCGGTGGTGACTTTACAACACACACGGACCACGGGGAACAAAAGTAGCCACCTTCCAGAAGGAAGGAAAGTGTCAGTGTTAATCTCCTGTGTCCCCGTAGCTTTCACTGGTTCCTCCTGCTGACCTTCACGGGAAACAACAAAGTAGTGACGTGGAGGTCAGGAGGAGAAACCAGCCAGAGCTGCGGGCTCTGATGGATGATTGCCAACACAGTGAACAGTGTTTGGTGGCAGGAGAAGTAAGTATTTGCAATCTTCTTTCACAGGTTTATCTTTACTGGGTGAACCCTAGTATGGCAACAGAGTTCCTTTGAAGTAAACATACATAAAGATATCATGGCTCCAAATGGTCTTACAGATCAATCAACTGATGTAATTACATACCTACTGGGATCGTTCCTCCCCTCAGTATGCAGATACAAACAGGCTGCACTTCCACTCTTTTTTACTTGATATACAACATGCTTTAGTGCAAATATTGTAAACATAGAAAGCCAGACTGACACATCCCTCTCCTACTTCTTCAATGGGCTTCTACCCAATAGGGGTTTAGTCATGAAGGTCATGATATTTGCACTATTTTTAATAAAGTTTTTTGGATGTCAAGAAAAAACTGGAGAAGTGCAGCCTCTTTGTTTGGTGATTTAAAGCAAAAATAACCCAAAATCAGTTTTGCATGAGCCCTGGTATGCATGGTGCCCTTAACTCATGCTGTCATTGACGCAGTTGAGGAAGCGTGAAGAACTCTATTCCACCACTTGGCTGCTCATATCGCTAATATCTAAATTAGAGACCTAAGCAGCCAAAAGGCAATGCTATGGCTGGATTCTAGACACTGATGTCCATCCAAACCTGACACAATTATTACGGCTTAATATAATAACTTTGGGTACACTTATTCTATATTTCTGCTATCTGCACAAATGTTTAGGAAGCAAATTTTTAAAGACATTTATTTTTCCCGGTGTCCTTTGCCAGGCCCCACTGCAGTTAAAAAGGCTGTCAACGAAAAATATACCATTGTATGCACTGCACCCTGACAATCAAATGGTTAAATAGTACTTTGTGATTTGTTTCTGTAGAATGTTAGGGGTTGGAACGGTTTCCAGCACTTACTCCAGACACAAAGGTATTTCCTGTTTCAGAAGGTGCCAGATCCAGACACAAAACATCAGCACCATGTCCATGAAAGCTCTGCAGCAGCTGTCCACTTTCCACATCCCAGAGAGCACATGTACCATCTCCACTAGCCGTCAGGATCTGGAATACAGACAAGCACAATATGTTTAGGAATTCAGAACCCTATATCTGTTTTCTGCTTTGGCCCTCAGATACCTAGGTCAATCTTCCTGCCTTATAATTAAACTGAAAACTACTTCTAAAGTGCAGATACCCAGGGATGCCGACACATATCTGTAGTGGCTTTTAGTAGAGCTAACACCTTTCTGATAGCGCTGAATCCAGGGAAGCTCCAAAAATACCCAGAAGTATGGCAGCTTTGCCTTCTCAGATTGGCCTGACAATCCAAGAAAGCAGGGCCATGCCTGTGAGCAGCTATTGTTTCCTTAATGTGATAGTCTAGTGTGATAGATAGTCTAACTAAATACACAGTTAAAGGAGAACTATGGGGTTAAGTCTTTTCCCCCTAGTTCTCCTTAGGTTAACGGGAGGACACAAACTAGCGTCCTCCCGTCACCCTAGGCTCAGTATACCGTGAGCTGTAGCTCGCGGTTTACTGAGACGCCGCAGTATACCGCGAGCAGCTACTGAGACGCCGCAGCTGAAACGGATCCCGACAATTGTGCCCGGATCCGCCCAGCTGCGTGACTGACAGCTGTCTCTGCCTATCTAGAGTCAGAGCCAGCTGTATCCGCCCCCTCCCCCCATCCGTTCCGCCAGTCAGCGCTGGCGGATGGGAGCAGGGAGGGGGGAATCCAGCCCCTCCCCTGTCACGGCAGAGAGCCGTGACGGGATCGAGAGGTGAGCGAACGCCGGTATGTGCTCGCTCACCTCCTGATCTACTGAGCCGACCTGTGACAGTCTCATTGTCACAGGTCGGCTAGAACTATGAGGTGTGTGAAAAGCACTCACCTCATAGTTCTCCTTTAATGCATCTATGGAAACTATTTTATAAAAATATTTGTGATTCCTTTTAGCCTCTTTTGTGGTTCACACACCCATGCCACACTGCATAGCAGAGGGATGACACTACTTTCTCTATTACAGTTTAAGAAGAGAGATGTCGCCTCACTGTCCCCACCCTGCTGACTGGACATTGAAGGCGCATGTTGAGGCTATCTTTGTGTTCTTCCTCCCCAAAGCCGTGTTCACAATGGAGGCGTGGCTATGGTACAGCACTAGGCAATGCAATAGAGCTGGAATGGCAAACATTTTGACATACAGGAGATTAAAAAATATAATGTACAAAATAGGGAGAAAATGAATATTAACCTGGAAAGATTCTACATCGTATCTTTTACAAAGTATTGATGCAGCAAATAAATATAATCCACCACTGTTTCTCATGTGTGCGATGTATAACTATATTATATAAAGCAAATATATGTAGGTTTTCAACTATCTGGCAACTCCATCACATGAGATAGATCAATGGTTAACAAACACATACGCTATATTACCAAAAGTATTGGGACACCCCTCCAAATCATTGGATTCAGGTGTTCAGTGAAATTTCCTTGCTACTAAATATTCCGCGGGCAACTGTTAGTGGTATTATAACAAAGTGGAAGCAACTGGGAACAACAGCAACTCAGCCCCGAAGTGGTAGGCCACGTAAAATGACAGAGTGGGGTCAGCGCATGCTGAAGCGCACAGTGTGCAGAAGTCACCAACTGTCTGCAGAGTCAATAGCTGCAGACGTCCAAACTTCAGATTGGCACAACAACAGTCCGTAGAGAGCTTCATGGAATGGGTTTCCATGGCCGAGCAGCTGCATCCAAGCCTTACATCACCAAGTGCAATGCAAAGCGTCGGATGCAGTGGTGTAAAGCACGCCACTACTGGACTCTAGAGAAGTGGAGACGTGTTCTCGGGAGTGACGAATCACGCTTCTCTGTCTGGCAATCCGATGGACGTGTCTGAGTTTGACGGTTGCCAGGAGAATGATACTTGCCTGACTGCATTGTGCCAAGTGTAAAGTTTGGTGGAGGGGGGATTATGGTGTGGGGTTGTTTTTCAGGGGTTGCGCTTGGCCCCTTAATTCCAGTGAAGGGAACTCTTAAAGCATCAGCATACCAAGACATTTTGGACAATTTGTGGGAACAGTTTGGGGATGGCCCCTTCCTGTTCCAACACGACTGCGCACCAGTGCACAAAGCAAGGTCCATAAAGACATGGATGAGCGAGTTTGGGATGGAGGAACTTGACTGCACAGAGTCCTGACCTCAACCCGATAGAACACCTTTGGGATGAATTAGAGCGGAGACTGAGAGCCCGGCCTTCTCATCCAACATTAGTACTTTACCTCACAAATGCGCTTCTGGAAGAATGGTCAAACATTCCCATAGACCCACTCCTAAACCTTGTGGACGCCTTCCCAGAAGAGTTGAAGCTGTTATAGCTGCAAAGTGTAGGCCAACTCAATATTGAACCCTACGGACTAAGACTGGGATGCCATTAAAGTTAATTTGCGTGTAAAGGCAGGCGTCCCAATACTTTTGGCAATATAGTGTACATTATCCATATATACTGTATAAGTGAACAATAAATCTTTTTTTGACATACACAAGGTCAAAAAAATTTAAAGAAATAAAAAACCTCCCTCCTGTAGGGCTTTGCATCATAAGCACCCAAATATCACTACTATGTAACCACCCACTATGCTTTGAGTCAATATGGACCATATACTGCAATAAAGGAATGTGTACAAAGATGCTCATTGGCTTTGGTAAATATTATAGACCATCCATCATGAATCTTCCAATGTTTCAACGTTCTCCTATTGAGCACAGAAAAAGAAACCGCTATGCTGATTCAATAAATGGTATTGTGTCCCATAAATCGTCTTCTAGGTTACATAGACCATCCAGAATCTTCATGCAAGGTATTTACATACATATGAGCTCTGGAAGGTATACATCTCCTTGTTGGCATACAGTATGCTGAAATTTCAATATGGCAACCAGTTCACATTCTGCCATCAGAGTCAGTAAGTATGTACTGAATGGTAAATCGAAACGTTGCAACCACAGCTCCAACCAGGATACACATATGCAGTTCCACAGTGACAAGAGAACCGGATAGAAGTCCATGTACACAAAGAGTCCCATGCTCCAAAGGTAAGTATATTCTGAACTTATGGTGTGTGCAAAGTTCAGGATTCCAATCCATGCACACGAATACTGAGTTATCTGATATTGTATGGTCCTTGCATAAGAAAATAGAGGGGTGTGTGGTATGGGGCTTCACAGATACTCTCACAAAATTTTACTAGAGAATTCACCTGTAGGTAGTAGTTTCATAGATACATAGTTGTTGATGGGTAATTCCACTTTCCCAGGTGAATTTGGGAAAATGGAATTACCCCCTCCAACCAATGAAAAGCTCTTCTCATTGACCACAATGACCAATGAGTGCTCGCCATTTACAAGCGAAATTCAAAATTTAGAGCGCAGGGCTGCACTACACGGCAGTACAGGGTACAGATGGTACAACCGCACTGGCGGAGGGGAAGTTACTTAGGGGGTTATTCACAAAGCTGCCGTATAACCCAGCCAAAGTGAAGTGAGCCGAACACTGTTCGGCTACTCACTTCTGGCTTGTACGGCTGATTTCAGCTGTACATCGGCTGCCTTCGGTCAGCCGCACATGCTCTGCATGTGCGGCTGAGCCGAAGTGCAGAACGACTTCGACTTAGCCGATTCAACATCTGGATCAGCTGAGCCGAAGCTCCGGCAGCTCACCCGCTCCGAGGTACCGAACAGAATAGAAAATAAGTTAAATATTTTTTTTTTTTTTAAAGTAGAATTTTTTTTAAAAATGTATGAATATTAAAAAGAAATTAAAATAAAGTTTAAAGAAAATAAAAAAAGAGAACACAAAAAATATTTTTTTTTAAACGCCGGCAAAAGAAAAACAATTGGGCGGAGCTAGCAGTGACAGCTAGCTCCGCCCAACTGTTTCCTATTGGCCGACACCTGGTAGAGTCTTCTAGAAGGTCTCGGCCAATGAATAACAACTTGGCGGAGCTGGCCATGATGTCACGGCCGGCTATGCCTAGTTGTTATTGTTTAATGACAGATTAGCATCCCCAGGTCATTTGGGGACATTGATCTGTCATAACTGGGCGGAGCCAGCCGTGATCTCACGGCTGTCTCTGTCTAGCTGTCATTTGCGGTGGGAAAATGGCCCGCCTTCGGCAGGCCGTTTGTCGCGCTTCGGCTGTCACTTCAGCTTAGTTGAGCCGAAGCATATGCCTTTGGCTCGGCTGAGCTGCTTGGCCTCGTTCGGCTGTATCCTTTGGCTCAATAGTGAATAACCCCCTTAGAAGTTTCCTGAATTTTTCAATACTCCCAACTGATACCACTACTTGGGGAAAGAAGTTCCATATTTTTGCTGCTCTGACTGTGAAGAACCCTCTCCACAAATTCAGAGTAAAAAATCACGTCAGATTAAAATAGGGGAAAGGGATGGACAGCATGGGAAAAAAGTGACAGAGTGAAAGAAATAAACTATGGTATTTACCTCCTAGAAGGCAATCTAAAAATTATTTTTACCATTGTCTGAGTAATCATCTAGATAAGGAAACACGGACTATAGTCTGCTCAAGTGCTAATGGGTCGTTGGTTGGGAACCAGAGCCTTAGACCCTATACTGTATGCTGTAGTGTAATTATATGAATGGGGTTATGCCATTAGTTTCACACTTATGCAGCAAGCCAGAAAAAAAACTAGTTATTTTTTGTTTAGGGCAAGGTTGCTTAATTTTAGGTGACAGAGTTCATACAAAGAATATAATAAACACGCAGTCAGATGCAGTCACTTGACAATCTTGTCAGTGTGTCCAAAGCTGCAGCACGTATTAGGAAATGTAAGTCTGTGACAATGATGTCATTGTAACAGTGTATGCCAGGAAAGTAAACAGAATTTTAAAAAAGAGCATATTACTTTAATCTTGTCCATGAAGCAACATACAACAGAGTTAAACTATTGGTATTCAGTTCAAGTAAGCTACCTACTAATTTATTGTGACCAACCCTGCAACAGGAGGAAGGGTCAAAACTAACCTTAAAAAGTAATTTT